CTTTGCATCACAAAAGCAGTTCTATTCATCACTCCAGCTACTCTAGTAAACCTCCATACACCCACCTGTAAGTGCATACCACCAACTTCCAATACACACTCGCATACCAGCACACTGCAAATCAAACTATGACCTGATTCATGTACACCTGTACACTAGTTACTAGGCAACAGACTTAGCACTATTAAGTTTATTATATGATGAGTTTATTCAATAAAGTTACTTTACAATACTATAACCTACAAACACAAATAACTAGACAATAACAAATAACATCCAAAATAGTGACAATTTTGTCACAGGGGGGGGCACATGGTGACGTAGTAGCGAGTTCAAATCCGGTGTTTTGTGTTTATATGTTCGTAAATGTGCCTGTAATTTTTCATTACATGATTGCGTAATATTTGGCGTGTACTCATGTATCATCATATACTCATGTGGTTGTTTTCATCTTGAGAAAAACCAGTGCAAATAACACTGCCTACTCAGGCAATGAATGTTGTGTGATGAATTTGTTTTCCCGTATCTGACTGAGTCCACTATATTATGAAAAACTATATTTGATTACTTAAATTGATACGACATTAGTTTTGCAAGAAACTCCTCAGACAAAAGAATGAACACCATTTGTTGCAGCCTCGGGTTACCGTTGCAGATATAATAGTAATATCTTTTAAGATTTTATCTGATTGAAAAAAATGCCTGTGCAATAAAGTTTGTTTGAAACTTTGTCATCAAAATCGACATGCTTTCCTGATATATATAAATTGTGTGCACTTGAATACTACTAGTTTTTATTTCTGAGTAATGATTTTTGAACCTGTGCATAGTCTGTAAACCCCAATATTACGGTGGCCGATGTTATATGTGAAATACAATAGTGTGAAATGAACATGGTAGACCAGAAAACTCGATATTATCTCCCCGTATTCATACAACTTTACGGAATGTTTCCCAAATACAGAAAACAATATTTAGTGCATGAACCGTGACATGGGACATATAGTATCTTAGTTATATCCGAACAGGGATTTGTTACATATTTTTTCGCCGAAAGTACCTTCACAACCACCACCACCAAGACCATCACCACCAAGCCGAAATGAACAATAAGAAGTATACAGTTACGCGATCATAATATATATAATATATAATTCCCTTAGTGCCCGTACACATACAGAATTGATGCTCTATATATCTAATGAAAACTGGCATAAGTATCACGTTTAGTCTGCCACTTTAACCACACGTTATAAAACACATTTGTAAACATTTGTATTGATTTGATTGAAGTGTCGGATGACTTGTACAGATTTCAATAGCACAATCCATCACACAATATTCAAATCTTATATAAACAGCAGCGACTAAATAAGTGGGCGGCTTGTCTATACTATATATGCACTGTGCACATTGCGTAGCCTGGCTAATCAGGTAATTTGCTGGTCATAATGTGTAAGCATATTCCAATATTTATTCTGAAATATAATTCGAAACGTAATGTCATGAAATCGATATTTTAACGGTTGTTGTATAATTATACGTGTCTAATATATTGGTTTCGTTACAGACAGCACCTAAAGCAGTCGAAAATATGATATCATATGGAATTGTCATTGTCATTACGTGATAGGCGTTCACAATTACATGATATGCATTCGCCGTTATATAATAAACATTCACCATCACATAATATGCAATCACAATTACATGATAGGCATTCGCCACAATATGATAGGCATTCACCACGACAAGATAGGTATTCGCCACAATGTGATAGGAATTAACCATTATATGATCGGCATTCACAATTACAGTTGTCTGAAAGTTTATATAACATTTGTTATGCTTTGCTATTAACGACAAATATAGTCTAGAATACAAACTTCCCATTTATTATGTTTATTAATCACTTGTATTCAATATAGGATTGTGTGTGATTAATGAGTGTGACTATAATAATAATAATTATTATTTAAAACATCAATTGAATCAGTTGAATGTTAACATGCGTCATATGTTGAATACAATTGTAGTGTAATGAACACAAAGAAGCTGTCATTATTGTAATTAGTTTCTTTGGCAGTTTCGAAACTTTGAATAGAGATTAAATTGATATTTCTAGATGACATTTATCATTCAAGAAACACGATGATTAACAGCATCGCTGGTTAATCAATTTGTAATTATACTTAATAGTGCTAAGCTTTACAATTTTGAAATAGATATAAACATTTCTATTTTAGCCAGCATATGGAAACTATTATATTATTTATGAAACACATAATTCAGCCGATTACTGCATTGAGTTGAATTATTTTGAATGAAGAAACAAAATTTATCATATTTGATGTTGGATATTGGATGTTGGATATTTACTAATAGAACAACATATATTATTATACCTCGTGACCATGACAGCCAATCATATTCGCACATTACAGGTAGATATATTCCTGTGTAGACCGACTGACATATCCGAATGTCTACCTCCCGAATTTACCTGAATTACGCCTGCTAAATAACTTGTCAAGAAAACGCGATACGCTGCAATATTTATGAAATGTTTAGTTTTCCAGGTTTGCTTTCACTATTTGACTACATTATTGGAAATAAAATCTGAGAGTTGTGGATTTTGTTTTGTTTGTGTTAAGTATTTTGTTTATATCGACTTATTATGTACAGTGTGTTTGTTGAAAGAGAATGGTGTTGACATAACCTATACTCAAGCAGTGTGCAAGCTCCGTGTGCAACTCGTTTCAGTGTTCAGTACAATGTGGCGTATAGCTGCACAGTGACGCCGGGTGTGTTTGTGAGCATTAATTCTTTCTCAGGTTGAAGCTGCTAAAATTAGTTTTTTCAACACAACCATGAAAGTATATTGGCTTCCATAATAAAACTCAATAGAATTCAATCACTGCTCCTGATCTCTTATTATTTCTTACACAAGTTTTTAGTTGTATGCGTTTGGAAAGAACTATTTGACCTTCCCAATCCCAAAACAAAACAATATTGTAAATATAATGATTACATAAAAAGTCAGAACTGCTGTGAACTATTCAACGAACTATGTGTTACTGGTTGTCCCCTCCCCCTGATGGTAATGCGGTCTGCAGGAAACCGGTTTCTAACTGGAGACGTGGTTTTTAGACTGATAATTCTTTCGTATGTAAGCTAAAAATAACATTTCAGTGCACGTCGGACGTAAATTTGAAATGCGAACAAATTCTGCTTATTCTATTTTCATTGTATAACGAAATCCAGGCTAGTCCAAATTTCAGGTTAGTGTGCATAATGAAGAGTCTTGAGACTACGAATAACACAACTCAAATCAAAAGTGTCGCGATATGGTTACACGGACGCGGGATTACGTAATTACCATCGAGCGAACGCCTACCATGTCGTGGCGAATTTCTATAATGTCGTGATGATTGCCTATCATGTCGAGGTGAATGTCTATCATGTCGTGACGATTGTCGGTCATGTCGTGGCGAATGCCTATCATGTCATGAGGATTGCCTATCATATTGTGACAATTGCCAATCATGTCGTGACGATTGTCTATCAAGTCGTGAATATAGCCAATCATGTCGTGACGATTGCCAATCATGTCGTGGCGAATACGTACCATGTCGTGGCAAATGTCTATCATGTCGTTACTATTGCCTATCATGTCGTGGCGAATACGTACCATGTCGTGGCAAATGTCTATCATGTCGTGACGATTGCCTATCATGTCTTGGCGAATACGTACCATGTTATGGCAAATGCCTATCATTCATATCGTGGTGAATGTCTATCATGTCGTGGTGAATGCTTTTCATGCTGTGACGAATGCCTATCAAGTCATGGTGAAAGCTTACCATGCTGTGACGAATGCCTATCATGTCGTGACGAATGCCTATCATGTCGTGGTGAATGCTTTTCATGCTGTGACGAATGCCTATTATGTCATGGTGAAAGCTTACCATGCTGTGACGAATGCCTATCATGTCGTGACGAATGCCTATCAAGTTGTGGTGAATGCTTATCATGTCGTGACGAATTACTATCATGTTGTGGCAAATGCCTATCATGTTGTGACGATTACCTATCATGTCGTGGCGAATACGTACCATGTCGTTGCGAATGCCTATCATGTCGTGATGATTGCCTATCATGTCGTAGCGAGTACGTACCATGTCGTGGTGAATGCCTATCATGTCGTGACGATTGCCTATCATGTCGCGGTGAATGCTTTTCATGCTGTGACGAATGCCTATTATGTTGAGGTGAATGCCTATCATGTCGTGGCGAATGCTTACCATGCTGTGACGAATGCTTATCATATTGTGCTGAATGCCTATCATGCTGTGACGAATGCCTATGCTGTCATGATGAATGCATACCATGCTGTGACGAATGTATATCATGCTGTGACGAATGCCTATCATATCGTGACGATTGCCTACCATGTCTTGATAATTGCCTATTATGTCTCGACAATGTCTATGATGTCGTGGTGAATACATACCATTTCGCGGCGAATGCCTATCAAGTCATTGCCTGTCATGTCATTACAATTGTCTATCATGTCGTGACGATTGTCGGTCATGTCGTGGCGAATGACTATCATGTTGTGACGATTGCCTATCATATTGTGACGATTGCCAATCATGTCGTGACGATTGTCTATCATGTCGTGACGATTGTCTATCATGTCGTGACGATTGCCAATCATGTCGTGGCAAATCTCTATCATGTCGTTACTATTGCCTATCATGTCGTGGCGAATACGTACCATGTCGTGGCAAATGTCTATCATGTTGTGACGATTGCTTATAATGTCGTGGCAAATGTCTATCATGTTGTGACGATTGCTTATAATGTCGTGGCGAATACGTACCATGTCATGGCGAATTCCTATCATGTCGCGGCGAATGCCTACTATGTCGTGGCGAATACCTATCATTCATGTCGTGGTGAATGTCTATCATGTCGTTACTATTGCCTATCATGTCGTGGCGAATACGTACCATGTCGTGGCAAATGTCTATCATGTTGCGACGATTGCTTATCATGTTACGACGAATATGTACCATGTCATGGCGAATGCCTATCATGTCGTGGCGAATGCCTACCATGTAGGGGCAAATGTCTATCATGTTGTGACGATTGCTTATCATGTCACAGCGAATACGTACCATGTCATGGCGAATGCTTATCATGTCGTGGCGAATACTTATCATTCATGTCGTGACAAATGTCTATCATGTCGTTACTATTGCCTATCATGTCGTGGCGACTACGTACCATGTCGTGGCAAATGTCTATCATGTTGTGACGATTGCTTATCATGTCGTGGCGAATGCCTACCATGTCGTGACAATTGCCTATCATTCATGTCGTGGTGAATGTCTATCATGTCGTGACGATTGACTATCATGTCATGATGTAGTCCTACCATGTTGTGACGAATCCTATCAAGTTGTGGTGAATGCCTATCATGTTGTGACGAATGCCTATCATGTCGTGGCAAATGTCTATCATGTTGTGACGATTGCCTATCATGTCGTGGCGAATACGTACCATGTCATGACGATTGCCTATCATGTCGTCGCGAATGCCTACCATCTCGTGGCAAATATCTATCATATCGTGACGATTGCCTATCATTAATTTTATGTCGAACGCTTACCATTTCGTGGTGAATGCCTGTTATGTTGTGACGATTGCCTATCATGTCGTGACGATTGCCTATCATGTCATGACAATTGCCTATCATGTCATGACAATTGCCTATCATGTCGTGACGATTGCCTATCATGTCATGGCAATTGCCTATCATGTCGTGACGATTGTCTATCATGTCGTGGTGAATGCCTAGCATATCATGATGATTTTCTATCATGTCGTGGTGAATGCCTATCATGTCGTGAAGATTGCCTATCATGTCATGGTGAATACATACCATGTTGTGGCCATTGCGTACCATGTTGTGGCCATGCGTACCATGTCGTGGTGAATGCCTATCATGTCGAGACGATTGCCTATCATGTCGTGACGATTACTTATCATGTCGTGGTGAATGCCCATCATGTCGTGGTGAATGTCTACCATGTCGTGGCGAATACCTATCATGTCGTGACGATTGCCTATCATTAATGTTATGGCGAACACCTACCATTTCGTGGTGAATGCCTGTCATGTCGTGACGATTGCCTATCATGTTGTGGTGAATACATACCATGTTGTGGCAAATGCCTATGATGTCGTCACGATTGTCTATCATGTCATAGTGAATGAGTGCCATGTCGTGGTGAATGTCTACCATGTCGTGGCGAATGCCTACCATGTCAGGACGATTGCCTATCATGTCATGACGATTGCCTATCACGTCGTGTTGAATATATACCATGTCGTAGTGAATGCCCATCATATCGTGACAATTGCCTATCATATCGTGACAATTGCCTAACGATCGTATAATACAAATTGAGCATGAAAAACATGAACATGAAAAAAAAGCAATAGCTAATTAGGGGATCTTTGTTTATTTAAATTGTATAATTGTATTTTATAATGGCTTTGCACAAGCCTCTACAATTAATTTTTTTATTTTAGTGAATATAATGATATTATAGATTTCTAATGGAAATTGGAAAGCCTGATAATTTGCAATTCCTGAGTTTACCGCTATGAAATAATACTGATTATTTATTTTCAGTAACATATGCCATTCTTTTTCAAAATTATTTATCAAAATGATTATATATTGTAAATGAAAATCCTGTACTAGCAGAATAGTTGTTATAGTGTTGTCTCAGTAATTTCATCCAGGATGTATGAGCAGAAGACGCACTTGATTTAGCTGTGTTCATACTATACAATCGCATTCAATCCTAATAACCATTTGTTCATGTATTTATAATACACGTTGATTGCTTCTGTTTGATAAGCAATATAGGAATTAATTTTAAACAATACAGTGTTTCGGTGAAAAACAATACAGCGGTTTACTCCTTCTTGCTGGCGTCAGCGTTGGGTCCCGGACAATATGAATAGAAACAGCGAACTCTATTTTACCTGTAATATGTACGCTCTGACAATGAAGGGAGATTCGTTTATAAACTGGAAATGCATTATATGTTACATTTCAACTACACATGATTGTGTCAATTTCTGGGCAGAGTGGAGAGAAACATTTTAGCAAATTTGGCTACATCTTAGGATTGATGTAAAAACAAAATTAATGTCCTATTCCCCACTCATTCTTAGTAGGGGCAGATTTTTACCTTGGATGCAAACATAGTTTATAGAATAATACAAATATAAGATCAGCATTTTGGAGCGAAATTCCTGACAGTGATAAGATACCACTCAATCTTATCTACGTGATTTTGTTTAACGGCAACGTTTCGAAATTTCTGAATTACAATATCGTAAATACAAATACGATTTTATTCAGGGTCAGTCTGCATACATTTTTAGATACAAATAGGTATTTATGGCAAATTATGATGCCGAACATGTAAAAATTAATACAAATCAAATGTCAACCGTTGCAAGTGAAGCCAATTGTTTATTCTGTAAGTATGTATATTCGATCCAAAATGTAAGTGTATGTGGCTGCAGTTCACACAGAGGTTCTTCGAATGACTTGATGTCGAAACAAAATCAAAATAGACTTACGAGTAAGTTATAGACTTTTTATATTTTCAAACACAACATTCATTTGATAACACAACGCCGTGGGATTTGATTAAGATTAATGTTACATATCGATATCGCCGACCAGACTTACACTTACCTTGGTTTGACGCACCTTGTGTACGGTATGACTGCCGGTAGCGTGCTGCTACCACGTGACAATGTTGTGTTTCAAACCTTGTTACACTATGCAGATGTTCGTCTTGGGCCAATCGGAGGATGATACGCAGTAAACGTACTTATATAGGACGACAGCCGCTTTCTCGGTCACGTGACCAAGACAAGTTATGTATTTTCGATGTGAATGAAAAGTAATAACTGTTAAGTGAGTAAACATCGGGTTCAACCACTTGAGAGGAAGGGAGAATAAAAGAGAATTCTATGAGAGGAGTTCATCACATCGTAAGACCAATCAATAACAATATTCAATTCTCGAATAATAGAGTGGGATAGTTTAGTTCCTCGAGGCATTAATAGTTGCATACGCGGGGTGCATTTACGTTACTTTTCGTCCGCATTGTCAACACGTAAACTCAATCTACATAAATGATACGGTAAAAACGTCGCCTGTGGAAATAAACATCACGCTGACAGATACCACTTTAAAAAAGAAACAAGTCGACGTATTTAGCAAAATTCACTGCTTTTGGTAGAAACCTTTTTAAAAGCCACGGGGAATATAGTGTTCATGTACATATACAATAGGCAACTATTCCTCTATCCAATTTTTTGAAAAAGAGTATATCTATAACTTGGGGCTGGTAATGAAAAATGTATGATCTGTAGGTTCCATATTTGTAATACGAATAGCGAGCATCGGGAGCGTATAGAAGGAAATATATGCAAAATACATAAAGATTTTTTTATTTGAAAGCATAACCAAATATTGTGTGTTAGAGCAACATGTCGTAAATTGTAGGTTTTTTCTGCCAGTAAATCAGAGACATTTTAGTCATTGACAGACCCTATCACCACCAGTATATGCAGTGAATATATTACGCAGTGTCAAATATCATGATAACATTGATAAGGGTTACAACGGTGATGACAAGTGATGACAAGCGAGAATGGAGCAATATTTGAGGTTGGAAACAAGTGTCGTAGCTCTCGGTGTCAGCCAAGTCCCAGCGTCAATTTGCAAATTAGGCATTACGTCACGGACCGCCTGTGATAGAGTATCCCCAAGTTGGTGACGTTTGAGCAAGCATTGCATACGTTATGTGTACTGACATGTCAAACACACAACCATATCTTCGAATTCGTTCCGCTGTTCAAGCAATATTCGATGTTGTTATAAAAAAACGGGTAATAATTGAACAAAATAGTATAATGACGCGAAACAATATCCTGATAAAAATAAAGGTTGATTTATTAGTATCATAAGTTATATCTTGTTTAGAGAGCAGAACAATTGTCAATGTAGTGCACGTAATCGCATATAAATATATTACACGGCTCAATATAAGCAATTGAGTTGAATGTATTGAATGTGTTAATATTATGTTTCATTTTCATGTGGATATGTGTAATCTACGGATTTAATCATTACTATTCACACCGCCATGTTTCTTTCAACTCGTATGCTTTCAACGTAGATGGTTCGTGTTCCCATGAGGCGAATTTTCAAGTCGCAAAAGTATTACATCTTGTGATATGTTGTGTCGTATCTTCACCATTATACCTACAAGCGATTGGTATAAATTCGAATTCGCGAAACGCTTCAAAGTTGATGATGGTAACCTCGGCACTGTATGCTCACTATATTCAACAAGGCATGATCATATCGATGTTATTATTGGAATGGATGTATACATTT